CAGGCACCGGATCGTGGTGCTGCGCTCTCCCAGGGAGCGTGCACAAGCAGGGTGCGGGGAGGCCGTTTGTAAACGGCCACCCGACCCTGCACTGCCGCCGTCCGGCCATTTATATACAATGGCTGGATGGGAGGTGGTTAAGTAATTTCAACGTGGCCATCTCCCTACTTTTCCTACTTGTGCTCTGATTGGGTTTCATTTGCTTGCTGTATTACTTGGGCATTTACTCCAGTATTAAAGCGGTAGTAAACTTTAAAAAAAAAAACTTGCAATGTAAAGGCATACTGTGCTAGTATGGATTGCAAACTAGCATATTATGAAAGACATACCATGAAACAAAGCCCTCCAGTGGCACACTCTCACCACTGCTGAGGCTTCCATCTTCACACCGGTCTTCCTTCCGGATCCCCAGGCTGCAGCCACTTGAATGGCCAAGCCAGGATGGCATCACTCCCACGCATGTGCACGGGAGCCATGGCAGCTGCCAACAAAGCAAGTATCTCCTAAACTGTGCACACTTAGGAGATATTAATTTAACCTACAGGTAGCCTTTATTATAAACTTCCGTGTAGGTAAAAATCAAATTCAGGAGCTTTCTACCGCTTTATTTCTCAGATTCCTTGCTGCTCTTAGTGGTTACTGAATAGTCATAAACATCTGGTGTGAACAGTGTTACATACGTTCATGCTTGGTTTACCTGGAAACCTAAAATGCTTATAATTTGGACATTTTGCAACATCTGGTAAGCAGACTTGGATGCTTTCTGGCAAACTGATACAATTTGTGCTCCACTTATATACTAAAATATAACAACCACAAAACATGGAGGAAAGAGGGACAGGGCAGTTCTTAAAAGGTGCAGTCTGACTCAGGCACTTTTCCAGTATCTCATTTATTATGGCATTTGCAGCAGTTTATGATGGATCTGCAACATGTGCAACTGTCATCCTAAAACAGCTGGCTGCACTTTGTTTCTGCTTTTTATTATCTACTTTAAAAGGAACCTGTCATGGTATCAATTGCTGAGACCTTCTTGTGGAAATGCTAGTTGTCTGGCTGTCATATTGGCTCTTAGTTAAAGTACTCTAATGCCTGGTACACACTATGAGAATATCGGATGAATGATCGTCCATTTTTTTTTTTTTTCATGCTAGTCTCGTATCAAATAAGAATAGGTTACTAGAGTTATGAAATTCTTGTAAGACAGGATACAACTTCCTGTGAAGATGTAATGTATTGTAATGTATTCTTGTGTTTCCCAGAATGTGTGGTCTTGGTCACTTGATTTTTTTATGGATGAATACTATACTAATTACACAAAAATCTTTCCTTCTGTTATCTTACAAGAAAAATGTTCACGCTTGTCCCTTCAGATAATTTTTGCATGAACTGTTGTGATCATCATTTGAAAGCTCTGTACAAATGATCAAATCATCAGACGATTGCTGCGTAAATTTTTTTTTTTTATCCAATTTTCTCATTGTGTGTACTAGGCTTAAGTTTCTGGCCCATAACTAGTAAGATACTGACTTCTAACGTCATTCCCACTTTCCTGATTTGCGTGCTTGTTCTGGATCACATACTTGAAGCCATAGGAGAAGCAAGAGAACCTGACAACTAGTGTTTTTATTGGGAAGTCAGCAACAACTGTTCCCTTATTTCTCTATGCCGGGTATACTTTAAAGTAGATCTACCAATACCCATGCATAACAGACAGCTTACAGTAGTACAATGCAGGCTGTACATGGTACCTGCATTCTTCTGTGACTGGGGTGCCCAAATCCCAGGCACTAAATTTGACACTTCTTGGGGGTTGGCAAGCATTGGGCCTCCTCCCTGCCAACACCTGAATGTTCTTACTCGTCTGTCACTATGATGGCCAACCTTACTGGTTAGTAGCAACAGAGGTGGAATGGGCAGGGTTACCCGTAATGCGTTAAGACTTGTTGGTTGCAACACAGGATTGTGGGACTGAACTCTCATGCATTTAAAACATATGTTCAGGCAGAAATGAATTCATTTGAGTTGAGCAGCAGGAACTACATTTCCCATTTCAGCTTGTCACTTTATCCAGCCATGGAGGGACTACAAGTGAATAGCATCAGGCCCTTCCATGGCTTTCTGCAGCTGGAGAGTCATGAGCTGTATTATGCCGGCTACGCACTCTTCAGTATAATTCATTGCAATCATAATTCCATTTTATAGACTTTTATTGGCTCCTCCATAGCATCCTATTTTAACAAAGTGCAGTGCAAAGCGGAAATCAAAATGGAGGGTTCTAAGTCAGAGTCTTGCAGCAGTTTGGGTCCCTGTGTTGCTATTCTAGCCATTTATGGTTGTTTGTTTTTCTATTATTAAGCATGTTAAAACACATTTCCAGGCCCTATATTTGCTGGTAAATGGGCCCTAAACTTCTGATAAGTGTTGTTGACGTTTACTGTAAAAAGGTTCATTTCCCAGTCTCCCTTTTGGTAAATAAGACTATCTATTACATTAAATGGGGATATGGACATATTTTATTTATTATGATCTGGGCTAAATATTACTTTAAAAATATATTGTCAGGTTGGTAAGTTATTTCATATTAATTTTGTGTATTTTTACCCACCCATGCACTAGTGAAGGAGTTTGCTTAGGGACTCATCCCGTATGGGCCACTCATTCTGAAGTTTCAGTCAAACAAATGCTACTTCAAAACAGGCTGCTTCTGCTGTGCTTAGAAAAATAATCTGCAGCTTGGGGGCACAGCATGCATCCACACTTTCCTAGCTCCTCTGACACCATAGTCTTAACAAGCTGAAATGTTCTGCTATTTCCTCACGTTTTGTCTCTAGCTGAACCATAGTGTTCTGGGAATTGTTCTACATTAAAGCACGACTGTGGCTTTTTTTTTTTTCTTTTTTTTAGATCTAGTGGACATAAAAAAGATCTACTTACCTGATCCCTCCACTCCTCCACACTGCTAGGCCAGTCCCCCATACTCCAGCAGTCCAAGGTCCTGACATCTAGGCCAATGCAGGGCTAATGACCCTACATTGTACATGATGACTCTGAGGGACAGTCCACCAGAGAGCATGGGGGAGAGCCATCTGCCAGGAGAGTGGACGATCTGGTAAGTAAAAGTGCAGCTTCTTCTCTCTCCTAGAATAAGCAAGCAGTTAACTTTTGCACAGCCCTACTTCAACTGGGGGATTTTCAAATTTCCTTCAAATATTTATTTGTAAAAGAAATCTACTAGTTAAAAATAGGATAAAAATGGTTTAGAAACATAAAAAAGGTAGTAGTAAAATTGATCCTGAATGTGAGAACAAAATAGTTAGCTGTACCCAGTTTCAACAAAAGGCTGCAAATTTTGCAGATGAAATCTGTATAACAGGAGATCGGATTATGAAAAAAAAAAAAGGACCTACAAATCTATATACAACAAAGATTGCACAGTACAGTATATCCTGTATAATAGGAGAAAAAAAGCAGAGCACTTTTTTTGTTGTCAGAAGCACTGGGATGTTCTTGCACCCATTCACTGTTCCACCTGCATGCTCACCGCCACATTTTACTCTCCTCCTTAGTGTTGCATTTCCTCCTCCTTTGCAGTGTAAAATGCTATTAATGTATTTCTGCTTCTCTTTCCCTTTGTTCTCAACCTGTGCCCACAGAGCAGGATATAGGCTTCAGATTTATTAAACATTGTCAAAATAAAGAATATGGATCATCTTGCTTACAGCACACAGCAAATAGAGTGCATACACACAATCAAAGCAGACAGGTCACACACAGTGTTTGATTTGCTAAAGGCAAATAGACTCTGCACATGGAAGTTAATAAGGGGAAACTCTGCTGACTTCCATCATCCATCCATGTGCAAGCAAAAATGCTATTTTGTTTGATTTTCCATGCATCTGATTTGGTATTCTTTAACTCCCTTACTGAGCTCTGGAGCAACTGCACTTTCAAAGTGCACGGTTATTTGCCTTTAGTAAATCAACCCCAGTGTCTCAGCATATGCAGAAGGAGCAAACACAGAGAACAGACACAACAAACAGCATATACACAGTCAGGGCACACAATTACTTTACAATTGCACTTAATTTTGTTGTTGTTTGCATGGGCAACACTGGTTCAATTTTTAGCCCAATCTTCCTAGTAGATCAAGAATAAGGTGGTCCATCATATATTACAAATATAGTTGTATTCTGATGTAATGTGGATATAAATATATTTTTACTGTATAGCCATACAGTATAGGCATAGTAATCAAAGGTGGCTGGAAATAAGACAGATCTTGGCTCTATGTGTGTACGTTATTAATCATATTACTATGAGGCATTTTTATTTTTCTAAAAGAAATCCTTTTGGCTAGGCTAGTTGGCACATGTACCTCCAAAGAATGCCAGCTTACTATTTGAATTTTATTTTCTTATATATTGGCAGTATATTTACTTGTGTTGGAACGGCACCTTTGTGACTTTGGCATGGAGAATGTTAATCATTTAAGCTTAGCTCTTCCTGCTTCTTCCCCTCCCTTCCTTCTGCTTCGATGTAGCTGTGATGGTCCATCCTACCTCTGATGTATCTAAAACCCTTCCTTGGCGTAGAAAAACCAGGTTATCACATGGTGCAGTAAATAGTGCCAGTTCACAAAATAGATAACCATATTAATAGATTTTTCAGATATAGAAATCCACTATTTTAGATGATTTAATGGCAGGCATACATTTGGATGTTGGGAATATATTCAAATTGTTTGGCTAATATGACTAAACTAAGAATCCTAGGGTTTTTTGTTTTTTTTTATTATAGTTTTTTAAGTATTGCCAATATTTTGCCCCACCCCCATAAGAATCCTATCCTAAAGTGAGAATGGCAAACTATTAAAACCATAGTTTTACTTTAGTAGCTCATTTTACTCATTTTTGTTTTTTTTTTAAGCTGAAAGAACTGTGGCTAATAGTGCTCTGGAAGAATATATCAGGGAGAAAGAAAAGTATGAAGACTGCAAAAAAAAGAATGCAGTGAAAGGCTCATCTAGAGAACAACAGGTAAGTTAGTTATAATGTTTATTAAGAAAATATAAATTTCTATAGACCTATGTCCTACCTATTTTACGCGAGGATATAAATGCTAAAACAACAAAAAAAAAAAAAGTTGGGCAAGATTTCCTGAACACAGCTTAACATTTCCCTGTGTTCTGTCACTTGGAAAATGTTACATTTATAGAAAAATACAGTGCCTTGAAAAAGTATTCATACCCCTTGAAATTTTCCAAATTTTGTCATGTCACAACCAAAAACGTGAATGTATTTTATTGGGCTTATGTGATAGTTTTCCAAATTTTTTACAACTAAATATCTGGAAAGTGTGGCGTGCATTTTTTTTCAGCCCCCGAGTCAATACTTTGTAAAACCACCTTTCGCTGCAATTACAGCTGCAAGTCTTTTTGGGTATGTCTCTACCAGCTTTGCACATCTAGAGAGTGAAAATTTTGCCCATTCTTCTTTGCAAAATAGCTCAAGCTCTGTCAGATTGGATGGAAAGCATTTGTGAACAGCAATTTTCAAGTCTTGCTACAGGTTGTCAATTGGATTTAGGTCTGGACTTTGACTGGGCCATTCTAACACATGAAGTTGCTTTGAAATAAACCATTTCATTGTGGTTCTGGCTGTATGTTTAGGGTTGTTGTCTTGCTGGAAGGTGAACCTCTGCCCCAGTCTCAAGTCTTTTGCAGATTCTTAACAAGTTTTCTTTTAAGATTGCCCTGTATTTGGCTCCATCCCTCTTCCCATCAGCTCTAACCAGCTTCCCTGTCCCTGCTGCAAAAAAAGCATCTCCACAACATGATGCTGCCACCACCATGTTCACAGTGGGGATGATGTGCAGTGTTCATTTTCCATCATTTTGCTTCTAGGCCAAAAGTTTAGTTTTGGTATCATCTGATCAGAGCACCTTCTTCCACATGTTTGCTGTGTTCCCCACATGGCTTCTCACAAACTGCAAACAGGACTTCTTATGGCCTTCTTTCAACAATGGCTTTCTTCTTGCCACTCTGTCATAAAGGCCAGATTTATGGAGTGCACGACTAATAGTGGACAAATCCCTGTGGACAGATTCTCCCACCAGAGCTTTGGATCTGTGCAGCTCCTCCAGAGTTACTATGGGCCTCTTGGCTGCTTTTCTGATTAATGCTTTCCTTGCCTGGCCTATCAGTTTAGGTGGATGGCCAAGTCTTGGTAGGTTTGCAGTTGTGCCATATTCTTTTTTTCATTTTTGGATGATGGATTGAACAGTGCTCCGTGAGATGTTCAAAGCTTGGGATGTTTTTTTATAACCTAGCCCTTCTTTAAACTTCTCCACAACGTTATCCCTGACCTGTCTGGTATCTTCCTTGGCCTTCATGATGCTGTTTGTTCACTAATGTTCTCTAACAAACCACTGAGGGCTTAACAGAACAGCTGTATTTATCATGAGATTAAATTACACAAAGGTGGGCTTTATTTACTAATAAGGTGACTTCTGAAGGCAATTGGTTCCACTAGATTTTAGTTAGGGGTATCAGAGTGAAGGGGGCTGAATACAAATGCAAGTCATACTTCAGATATTCATTTGTAAGAAAATCATTTATCATTTTCCTTCCACTTCACAATTATGTGCCACTTTGTGTTGGTCTATCATATAAAATAACCTGAAAATACATTTGCGTTTTTGGTTGTAACATGACAAAATGTGGAAATAGCCATACACTCATGGGTGGGAAATGTTGCTAAAAAGTGCTTTAATTTCTCCCGTACTTTTTAAAACCAAAATTGACACAGGATAAAGAAGCAGGTTGTATACAATAATGAACCACAAAGGTCGAGGACCACGAGGCCACCCTACAGATTACATCAAGAGCCACATGCTGTGAAAGACATAGACACAATCCTGGTCAAATGAGCTGTTGCCTCCTCCAGAGGAGCCAAGCCCTTAGCTCCATGCCACAATCGTCCTAGATGAGGCATGTTTCCCTTTTGTTCTTTTTGCCAAAAAAAAAAAAAAAAGAATAAACAGACGATGTGAAAGCCTGAAGGAAGCTGTAGCTTGTAGATATAACTTCAGAATCTCTGAGCAATTCCTAGAACCTCTTGCTTCTAGAAACTGAACCAAATAAAGGCACTGCTGAGAGTCAAACGCAGGATCCCCTGTTTACTAGACAGGCGTTTTAGCCAACTAAACCACAGTGCAACCTCTCTCCCAGGCACTTTAAAGGTTGGCAGAACATTTTCTTATTTACCATGAAAGACTGATGGTACCTTTGGATTTGAGTCAAACATATGTAACAGGACCACTTGATCTGGAAAGAATGTTAATAAATGTTCTTTATGACCGATGGCTCCTATTTGCAAGGCTCTTTACGCTGACATAATGGCCATGAGAAAGGTGGGCTCGATAGAGAGGTCTTTATTGGAGACAGACCTAGCACACTCCGCTCTGTTCCCGAGAGGGAATCGAGGACAAGAGGGAGGATCCCATTTGGGAAACCTCGGCTTTCTCTGAGGTCTGAGCTTGTTGCTCCCTTGAAGAATTGTCGGACAAGAAGATGCCCAGCCCAAGATACACCTGTGAAAAACGAAAAGGCTGACAGTTGTACTCTGAGGGAACTGACAGATAGGGACAGATCTCAATCTGACTGGAGGAAGCCTAGAATATCTTGAACTTCTGGATCATTACATGACACATCGGCAGCAGACAAGTACTCCACAAACTTTGACCAGATTCTCCCATAAACTTTGTACTCACTCTCCTAGTATTCATGAGAGCGGAGATGACTATGGAGGAGCAGCCGAGGGCCTCCAATCTCCCCTTCTCAAGAACAAGACCATCAGATGCAACCGTGCTGGAAATAGATGTAGAATTTGCACCCTGTGACAGAAGGTCTGGCCTAAAAGGAAGGGGCATAGGGTCACGGTAGCTGAGCTGTACAAGCAAGGGGAACCATGGCCTGTTTGGCCAACATAGCAACACTGCCACTACCTCCACTTGTTCTGTTCAGAGTCTTTGTAGAAACCTGAGAATGACTAGAACTGGAGGATATGCACATACCCCACTGAATTTCCAATGATCCACCAGGGCATCTGTGCCTAAAGCTTGGAGATGTTCGCCCCTCGTACAATACTTCTCAAGATTGTTGTTGCACGGGGAGGCGAGCAGATCGACTTCTGGACTGACTCCCAGGGACAGAATTCAGCTAAAACCCTCCACATGGAGAGACCATTCGTTGTTGTCCAAATGGACTCCAAATGGACCCGTTCCAATATTCTGGACTCTGTGGATATAAGCTGTTGAGATGTCAGCTAGATTCTTCTGAGCCCAAGACATAATTGGCTCCAATTCCTGTAACAGAGAAAGGCTGGGAGTCCTCCCTTGTCTCTCTTTTTTTGTAGAAGACCGCCATAGTGTTGTCTAACCTAAGAGCACTGATGCTCCCTTCGTCCGATAGTGAAAGCCTATAGGGTGTGGAAGGCTGCCCATAACTTCAAAATGTTCAACACAATCTTGTGAAAGTGAAAGCCCCACCTGCCTTGAACTATCTCTGACAGGCAGTAAGCCCTGTATCCTGTATTTCTGGCATTGGATGTGATTGTGATCCAGGAAAAGGGGGCAATGTAACTGCAGTTGAGTAAGTCTCTCCATTGTAGCCAGCAGGAAAGACTCTCTATCATGTCTGAGGTTATGTAGATGACCTGAATTCTGCTTCCTGGCTCCCACTGCTGGAGAAAACCCCTCTGAAAGAGCTGCATCCTCCAGGGCCCCCCTAACTGTCGGGCCACAGACACCATATTGCCGATAATTTTAGACACGGAGAGGCTCACAAGCAGGAGGAAGATATTTTCTAGAGGTAAAGCAATGGTGCTCTTGATTGTATCGAACTGAGCCCCAGGGTAAACAAGAGACTGAGTGGGTTCCAGGTGGCTTTTTTCCAGATTCAGCAGCCAACCAAATTCGAGGAGCATTGAAATTACCTGAGCTCTGTGCTCCAGAAGCTGCCCTCTGTCTTGGCACAGTAGGAGAAGGTCATCCAAGTAACAATGCAAGCGGATGCCCCTTGTTCTGATTAAGGCTATAACAGCCAATAAGACTTTTGAAAACACTCAGGACGGTGTTGAAAGCTCGGATGGTAGGCAAGTGAGCTGGAGATTATCTTGACCTACAGCGAACTGAAGGAACTTGCTGAAGTTTTCTGCAGTGAACACATGAAAGCAGGCATCTTTAGGTCTATGGAAATGAGCCAGATGCCTGGCTGGACCGCCTGTGAATTGTGGACATTTGTCTCCATCTTGAACTCCTTTTTGATTAAATTGTTTTAGGTGCGTGAGGTCTATAACCAGCCTCCGCAAGCCGTTTTTGTATGATTATAAGGAGGGGCGAATACATGCACTGAAATCTCCAACTTTCTGGAACTGACACAGCAGCACCTTGTGACACCAGTGACTTTACGTAATATCAGAGTATATGCTTCTTTTTCTCAGAGTGACGCAAGTCCGTGGAAACGAATCTGAGATGAGGAGAACTTCTGAAGGACCAATGCGTGTCCTGAAGAGACTGTTTTGACAGTCCAATAGTCTGAGATTGAGGCTCAAATTCATAAGACTTAGTAGCTTCCCGACTACCTTAGGTTGAGTTTTTAGCAGCCTTCTGAAGGCATGACTGGCCTCTTCCTAAAATCCCGACCTGGTCTGGAAATGCGTATGTCCCTCGCACGCTCTGAACTTTGTCTTCTAGACTGTGTCCTGTTCTGGCCTAGCAGGCGCCGGCCGTGAGGCAAAAACAAACCCAGACTTGCCACCCATGGCCCGGGCTATGGTGCTATTAAGCTTGTTGCCAAAAGTTGGAGCTCCGTCAAAAGGAATCTTGCACCATGCCTGTTTAGAGGCAAGATCAGCAAGCCAAGGCTTCAGCCATAATCCTCGCTTTGCCATAACTGATGAGAGCATTACCCTAGCCACCAAGCAGCTGCGATCAAATGAATCCTCACCATGGAAAGCCAGTGCCAGCTTAAGCTCTTTAATTTACTAGTTTCTGGCCACGTCATCTGAAAATGCTCTTAGAATACTATGTCCACACTCTCCTTCCAAACTTCCATCGCTTTAAACATGGCCACAAGTGCCAAGGCCGGCTTGCTGGTCATTCACTGTATCTTCCAAAGGAAGAGTGATACACTTTGCTAGCCTCAAAAAGGCCTCAACAACTAGAAAGGCAGCCTCTGGATGCATTACATCTTTATGCTTGGATGGATAGAGCTTGGTCATCTTGCTCAGAAGGGAGGTCTTTCTCACAGTCTTGCCTCACTCATCTAAAATGATGTTCCTTAGTTCTGTCAGAAACTGGAAATTAGAACGCTCTCTCTTGAGGTGCTTTAAGAATTTCCTTTTGCTATGCCGGAGACTTTACAGGCTCTACCCATTTTAATGGCCCCTTAATTGCCTTGACCAAAGATATCACTAGGGCAAAGTAAATCTTTTCTCCCACTGCCTCACTGTCTGAGGTCTTCATGGACAGATGGCTTGGTTTGGACAGTTCTAGCTCTTCCTGGCCATCCTTGGCAGGAGAACTCGCCATAACAGCTGTTAGACTTGTATGTGGCTTGTATCCCATTCTTTAAGGGACTCCTGCCCCATGTGCCTTAAAGAGATTTCTGGTTATCCCCATCCTTTTCACCAACTGCTCGGGCATAGCATGGCTCACGCAGAGACTTGCTCCTTGCTCGGAGTTACTGACGTGGTGGGTGCAGTGCCTGGAGGAGGATTCAGAGCTTCTCTTGTGATGCCTAGACCTTGATAGTGACCTATGGTGTTTAATTTTGGAAGAAGAATGTTGATGCTGTGACCCAATGAGTTCTCTATCATCTCCTGCCATGTACTGACGATCCGACCTGGAAGGACTAACAAAAACAAAATAGAGTAGAAGGAGTTAAAAACCCTGTGAGTGCCCAGGCAAGCGAGTAAAGAAAAGGGTTAAAAACACTCTCTCATACCTGCTATGCAAGGGCTGGGCACGGGGTGGGGGATGGTCGGTGACAGATCCATAGTGTGGAACTGCACAGCCAACCTGCACAGGTAATAGAGCCATACAGCACAATTAGGATGCAACAGGATCACAGACAGGAAGCACAGAAGGGTGGTAATGCAGAGCATATACCTGTGATGATTGTACACAGCGTTTAGGGAAACTGTTGCAAGCTGCCTGCAGGGAAAGCCCAATATCAACAGTACTGACAGCTGTTTATGATGACGTCACTGCTGTCCACAGTACTCAGAATCCATAGAGCCACTGTGCAGTGCCCGCATGCACAGTAGTGAATACAGGACGCCGGGTCAGAACACAGAGCGGTGGCTTGGAACGCAGATGCTCTCCAGCTGCCTTGAAAGGCCACAATAACACTAGAGTCAGGGCAGAAAGCAAACGGAGAAAAAAAACATATTTAATCACAAAAACAGCTGCCATGGAGCACAAAGGCAAATGTAGATTACCAAATAACGGCACTCACTCGACCTTGGCCTGGTGTGGGGAAACTGCTGAATCCATCCTGGGCATTTCATGGCCACCCGCTAATAGCAGGGCTGTCCAGCCAAACTGCCGCTTCTCTGCCAATGGCAGGGCCTGAGCTCTTCATTGGCACTACATCCATATGCCCTTTTTCCACCCCACTGATAGCTGGGGACTGCTGGAACTGATAAGAAATGCATCTCCTCGCCATCTTCCAGATATAGCTTACACGCTGAGCCACTGGGCCTTGGCTGTAAACGTTGCCATCCTAAGTGAAGGAACAAGGTAAGATTCCAAACACACAGGGTCCTAGTTCTGAGCTAAGATTTATGGGAATGGAGTCCTATAAGATTGGAGAAGAGGCAGGATTAACCCATATGTATGCTGCCCTGGAGTCTGTCAGGAAATAATTATTTTATAAAGTGCCTAATTGTTTACTTTTTAAGATTTTTTATAACAGTTGTATTTTTATTACAATTTGCTTAAATAGTCCAGAGAGAGACTTAAAAAATGTACATTTCAGACACTGGCTCTTCTGGACCGGTTTAAATCAAAGCTCACCCAGGCAATTTCTGAAACACCCGAAGAAGAAATGTCTGATCCAGAAGAAGATGATGACAAGGGATGGTAAGTGCTGATTTCGTGTTAGCTAATCATTATAACAAGATACACAGACACAACAAGACCTTAGAAGGAACTATGAATTCTTGCAACCTATAATTTGTTAGGCCACAATGTTGCCAGCTTAGATTTGTTCTGCAACAGCCATGTAACTTTCGATCACTTGGTAGTATTGGTTATAATAAAAATAAAGTCGTTTTCAGTTTTCTTCTTTAAAGTGTATATAAAACCCAAGCTATTTTGGTAGTTTGGGATAGAGTGGTAGTTGAACCGCTGTCAGGTTTTTATTGCTAGAAAAATCTGAATATGAATTGCTGTATCCTGGCATAGCGCATTAGTCAGTAGGGCTGCTTAGGTAGTGGTGATTGGTGCACTCTTTGGGAAATGATGGTTGGCATCTCAGACTGTGGAAGGGTCTGGACCCTGCTTTAAGTGAAAGTGCAGCAGTCTGACTTTCCAGATAGCTGCAGCACTTACCAGTTAAATGAAAAAGAGTAAAAGATTATTTATTACTATATACAGTATATATGCAACCTGGCTGCATTACAGTCATAAATTGTAAGGGCTCAGGAGGCTTTTAAAGACTAAGCCAAAGGCCTTAGTTACTTATGTTCGTTTTTCAAGATTTTAAAGTTTCGGTTCAGGGACTTACCATCACACTCTGTTCCTTGATCCCCACTTTAATAAGCTAGCTTCCTCTTTACAGAGAGTATGTTGTCAAAGTAAATGATTTTCTGATGAGGACTCCCATTGTGGTAGTGAGGCACCTGCTCTGCATCACTGACAGGTAGGTGACTGTCTTGCTCCACTCCGGCAGCTTAATGACTTCCTTTTTAAAGGAAATTAAAGTGGAAACAAAACAGTGGCTTTGTGATTTTCTGTGCACTACATACTGATGAAGGTAATAGCTGCTGCATTAGTCATGTGACAGGTTCACTTTACACCATTATCCTAGTGCTTAAAGTAGGAGTAAGAGTTTACATGTTGCTGTCTACCTTCCTTGACCTCAAATGTCTTCTCTTTCTAGCAGTTTGCTTTTTGGACCCTCAGTGATTATTTTGCTATAGTACATTGCCTCATATTAGATGTAAAAACATATTGTAGGAAGTGTGCCTGGTTTTTGAATATTTATTTTCCCTGGTGTCTGCTGAAGAATGTGTTGGAATTGTGTTACGTTGTGCAGAGCCTCCAGGGGAACCACTTTTCAGGACACATTTCAGCACACTGCGGTGGTGTTAATTAAAGGTAGACTTGATTGGTTAAGTATACAGAAATGAGAGATGTTTTGGATTCCCAGCCTCATGGTAGCAACTGAAAAATGTGCTTGGACATTGTGGAGACTGCATAACAAGGTATTACTGTACTTTGTACAGCTGCTCTTGCTGAATGCCATCAGACCATTTCTGAAGTGTATATTTTGTGTTTCAATAGCACTTCCTGTGATTGTCAGCCTAGATTTAGTATTACACATTGCCAAAGCCAAGGGTCCGAAATGACCTTTCAGATTTTGGCAACAGAAGCTTGAAATGTCACAAAGTTTTTCAGGAGCCAGACAAAAGCAAGGAAAGGGCTGTGAGGTGGCTCAGTGTTGTTTAATGATATTATTGAGGAACATTGTGTTCTGGAGTGACCTAAAGGTTTGCAGTGTGACTCTGGTAGCTGAGAACTTTCACAGTGGTGGGCTGATATTATTATTATTATACAGTATTTATAAAGCGCCAATAGTTCGCTCAGCGCTGTGATAGGGGGTTATTCACTGGTAGTTCCAGAGTTAGGTTGAAATAAAGCTCAGATCCATCTATATAAGGCATAGTCCTATTTGCTCTAGTGGGAGAAAAAAATCTCTCCTCACTCTCTGAAGGCAGTCAGATATGTTTTTGTGAACCAGCAAACACAAATGCTCCTGCGCTTGGGGATGGACTCGATGCAGGCTACAACCACATTAAGAATGTCCTGGAACATGCACACCTTGCTGCCCTCAAATAGACCGGGGGAATCCAAATATACTGAATGAGGAAAGAACAAAGAGAGGGCGCACAGGCCTAGTGCATTACCATAAAAAATGTTTAAAAAGAAATAAAATAGATGTTGTACTCACAAACAAGAATAAAGTCAAGGCACATCATAATAGAACAGCTGGGTCAACACCGCACTGAGTAACCGTCCGCAATGGGGAGTGTAGACATCCAATAGGCTGACGCTAGGGCTCTGAGGAAGAGGCAAGTCCTCGAAACGCGTCAGCCTATTGGATGTCTACACTTCCCATTGCAGACTGTTACTCAGCGCGGTGTTGACCCAGCTGTTCTTTTATGATATGCCTTGACTTTATTCTCGTTTGTGAGTACAACACCTATTTTATTTCTTATTAGATATGTTTTTGTATTTTTTGGCATTGTATACTGTATGCCTGTTTCCTTTGTCCATTGTGGGATACAGGAATTCAGAGACAGTTGGTTTGTACTTCTGCCTACAGGAGGCTTAGGTACTGGCAAACAGAAAAATTGTAAGCCAGCCTCAGGGTAACCCCTCCTCTACTCTAAATGCCTCAGTTTTTTGTCCTTGTAGGATGAATGCCTGTTCTTTAGCCCTGATGAGAAATCTCTAACCATATTTAGTAGCCTTTTTTTCCCTCAATGTTTTATTCTTAGATCCTTCTTCTGTTGACTCAAATCAAAACTACTCACTACATCACTGCTTGAGCTGGTTTCTACGTAGCAGTTATTTGTATTAGCCTTTCTTCTCCTGTCTTTGACTTGTCATACCAAGACCCTACTGGATAGGACAGTAGTGGGCTAGTCTAAAATATGAATTTCAGGCACTGAGCTCTGTGTTGTGGTGCTTTGTATAGTGATACAAGTTATCCAGGCCCAGAGCTGTGACACAGTGAAAAAGTGTGACACTGTCTCTGAAGACTCACGTTGTGAGTAAGGCTATTCAGGCTGAAGCGTCAGGAGCTAGCTAGCTGTATGCACCCCTAGGCTCCTTTCAAATTTCCTGTTACCATGAGTTCTACCATGGCAAAGATTAACACTGTAGGACAGATGTAATTCTCTTGGTGAAGTGTCACATAGGCTTGCTCTCTTTCCACCATCCAGCGTGGAGAATGCATAATCCTGCTGCTCCTGCTCTGAAAAGCACCACATGAAACTCTAAATCTCCTTTCTATTCCTACTGCCTGCCTACAGTGGACTGGTAATCTTCTACTGTCTGACCTTCATCAGTGGCAGCTGCCTCGAACATAGTATCTAAGGCTTTGCCTCACATTTTGGACCTGCCTGCTTCTCCCCCATTTGGGTGCAACATGTCTAAACAAAGGAGACAATACTGCTGCTGTCCCAAGCCGATGCTCTTCCAACAGTGTTGGGTCTGCTTGGTATCCTCTGCTATCTGGAATACAGACACACATAGTTTATAGAGTATACATCATTGATGTCTCCTCCAGCTTCATCGGGTGAGGCCAAGTCACCAACCTTATTGTCAGGGTCCTCTACTGTAACTTAGGACTTTGTGGCCAAATTCACCCAGTTCACCAAAGAAACTGACCACAAAGGTTCTAAGTGTACTCTCATGCCATCCCACTAAAGAATCTATCTCTAATCCTTCCAAGGCCTTAGCTTAGTTTTTGTAACCATCTCTGATTCAAATCCAGAGTACCAAGACTTTTGAAGTGCTGCGGTCACCTGCTATCATCTTGGAATTACCAGGGGTTGTTTTCGACCTTATTGATGCAGTGCTTCTACTCTGCATGTGGAGATTCAGCCTACTATCTTCAGCCTCTCAGTCTTTCAAAACTGCTGCAACTATAAAGACCCTTCCACTACACCTGTTATTCGAGGTATTCCTCTATACGGACTGGGAGCACCCTGAAGGTTCCAAGGTTGCACCTGACAACTGGAGCTGGAACTGTTTCCTTTGATAGTGAATTGTTGAAACTGGCCTATAACCACAGTGAATCCACCAGTGACCCACCTTAACAGGAAATTAATCAGACTGGTAAGAAGAATGCTTTCCTTTAAGGATTCTACTGACAGGCAGTTGGAATCTCTTCCTAAAGCTCAGTTTACTCTTGCTGGTTCTTTGTCCCATACTGACTGTAACCCTAGTCTGTCAAACTGTGGCAGAATGAGTTAGATCCATCAAAAATAATCTTTCCACTAATTTGAATGTATATCTAGTGCCTACTGTTTGAGTTGTGATTACTTATTATAAGCATCAATATTTATTATTCACATGGGTCTGCTGTCCATTCATATGCACATAGCTCTCTGGTAAAGATGCTGGGATTCAGATGTCAAATCCAAAGAGCATCTGACTTGCTTGGCCTTCAAGGGTGCAGTTTTTTTGGCCCTACATTTGATACTGTAATCAGGCCTTTTATGAAAGGCCAGAGCATACTCCTGCTTCATTATTGAAGGTTTAGCATGTATTCTTCTTCATCTACTCCTGCAATAGGTGTCCACAGATCCCTAGAATCTTAATCCCATTTCCTGCCCATCTTTGTGGAGGTGCTTCCCATGCATCCTATCTCTTTAGTCACGTTGACTTTTTTGCTTTAAATTCTTGAGTTTCTTGACTGACACAGGAGTCGCATCACATTTCCATGAGCATGTTGTATTCTAACTGATTCAAAGGTTTCCCTTGACAGTCTCACTTAGCAAAATTTGTCTCAAAAGAAATTGTCTGGCCAGACAACTAGGTTCTTATAAAAATTAAAGGTGGAAACCGTGCAAAACTGTGCATAAAAAAAAAAGTGGGCAGCAAACAAAAAAGCAGATATCCTTTCTACCATGCAATACAATAATAAGTGTTGTGCTAATATATAAAACAAATGAAATAATCAAAAATTATTTGCAAAATATTTTTTCAATAAATGTATGAAAAAAGTCCACAGTGAATGAAAAGGGTATGAATCTCCTGTAAAAAAGCACAAATGCAATAATTTCAAACTAAATGTATAGTGAAAAAAATATTAGTCCACAGTGACTAAATTAAAGGTGTTAGTCCACTCCAGAAAAAAACACTCCACAACATCTATCTTCCTCCACTAACACCAGTGTCACCTGCCACCACAGTAAGGATAAGATGTGGACTTACCAGATGCAAAGACCTCTTTATTCAGAGTAGTCATAGGCGCTCTGAATGCT